ATGCCCATGAATGCTGTTCTTATAGGTTGAATTGTGTTGAGAGTAGAATACTTTGTCAAAAATTGGTAACTACGTACCAAATTAGGGCCCTAATAGACCTTTGACAATGAGGTTAAGTGGGTTGGGTCAAAGCAACATAAAACACACACCTGTAAAAAGTGCTCAAAGAATCTTTGACCTCGAAGACAAACCCAGACTTTATAGCTTACCTAACAGTAACCTAAAATACGCCCTCAATGTTAGGTTCTTTTTTGGGTATATTGGCAAGTAAAAATTATCTTATTAGTGACCAATCAAATTGCTTGTTTGCAACTTAGATTGGTCGAGATGTCTACTAAATAAAAGGGTACTATAAAAGTTTTTGACATAACAAGCGAACGCAGGAGGCTGCATGTTACTGCATATTGAGACATGTCCATTAGTGCATAGTTGTTGATTTAGTTGTTCATGCGAATTGACAGTGTAAAGTGCCTACTATGGCGTCGTGGTAACGTGGTTAGTTAAAGGCAGTTTTACGGTATAACTTTACGCGTGCTTTAAGCATAGACCAGTGCTTGGAAGAGATGACGCTTGCATTAAAGAATGATTGTCCTCATCATACGACTAGATTCAGGTGGTACAGGGGATACCAAAGGGGCAATTTCACTCTGGAGGATGCTGAGAAGGAAGGAAGGAATGCCGCTAACTTCAATACCAGAGGAAAACATTACAGCTGTGAGGAAAATGCTTGACGAAGACCGGAGAGTCACTTAAAAACAGATAGAGGAGACCTTCACGCTTCAGCAATTCATTCAATTCTGTATGACCATTTACACGTAAGGAAACTTTGTTCTCTGTGGGTACCGCATAGGCTGATGGAGGAGCAGAAGACCCGTCGTACGACTTGGTGCCGAAGAATGCTAAAAATAATTGATAAGGGGCAATCTCGGTATGTCAACAGCATCGTGTCGGGTGACAAGACTTGGCTCTATTATCACGATGTGTCGACCAAGGCTCAAAACAAAGTTTGGGTCTTTGATGATCTGTTAAGGAAAAAGTGATAGCTGTATTTTTCAAATCGAACGGGATTATGGAGCGTGTCGTTTTGGACACACAGAAGACAGTCACGGCTAAGTGGTACATGGAACGCTGCCTGCCTAAAGTCATAGAGTCTATGAAGAACCTGCGGCCAAAGTCAAGAATGGTCACTTGGTCACCTCCACTATGACAACGCTTCAGCTCACCGCGCCAAAGCACCGAGTACTTGACCACTACTGGACTGAAACTTATAATTGAGCACCGTCATTACAGTCCAGATCTTGCTCCCTGCGACTTTGTACTGTTTCCGCATGGGAAAATGAAGTTAAAATGATGCGAAGAGGACCTTCTGAGGGCTTGGGTCAACGAGTATGCAGAACTCCCGGGTGAAACTTGGCAGAGCTGGCTTAAGGACTGGTTTTGGCGTATTGAGAAATTCATTAAATGTGGTGAGAATTATTCTGAACAAAGTCAATAAATACAGCTGTAATGCAAGACCTTCGTTGTATCCTTTGTAACCTTATTGTACACTTTGAGGCTACAAGGATGCTTGTAGTAAATGTTCGTCCATATTTTCATATTGACATTAGCTTTGAAGAATAAATTTGTTAGTTTCACGAACTGTCTGAAAATTTATACCGGAAGGGGCCTAAGATGTAAAGGCCTAAGGGTTATTAAGAGAGACTCAGCATCACGGTTTGCTGCTCCTTCCGTTCGGAGTTATTGATGTACTGGTGCGTCCCGCTCAATATTCGGGCTGTGTCATACAAAACGTATTTTTGAAGTGAATAGAACCTTCCCTTTTTTTCGTTTGGATCAAGCTCTCTCTCTCCCTCTCTCTCTCTCGCTCTCTCTCTCTCTTTGGATTAAGCAACGACTGTAATTTAAGAAGAGAGAATGATCCCTGTCAGGAATTTTTTCCTACGGCATACACGCAATACGAAGCGAGATTGTAGGATATTTCATACAAATCTTGCCAGCTAAGGCAAACTAATAAATACAGCCTACTTATATCAAACTGAAAAATTATTTGATGTCAAATTGTTGGTCCTAAAATAAAAACTAAGATCTAGTCTCACCTTGACTGTGGATACTAAGTAATTATTGAGTCTAAAGTAGGGTAATCTCAACTATAAAGTTAAAAATGCATGCTATTTCGACCCACAGGTCGAAATACTGAAAGCGGCCAACTATGTATATAAAAATGAATCCTTATTTCGCGTGGTCACGCCATAACTTGAGAACGACTTTACCTATTTCACTCATCTTTTTTTTTAAGCTTCCTCATGCTGTATAGAAGGTTCATACGGGAAGAAAAATCAAGAAAATTGCGCAGAAAATTGGGAAATCATTGGAAACCTAATGATTACTTAAGATACGCGTTTGTTTGAGCATGGAGCACGCACAGCAGCAGAAATATTTCAAGTACCAAAAAAGACAGGAACTCGTCTCCACCATCTTTATTTCAACAGCTACTGACTGTAAGCTATATGAGAGAAAATTGCTTATGAAGGGTGCTTTTGTTTTTGAACTTACATTTCTTTACCAACCGTACTTTGTGATGGCCCCTTCGAAAGAAACTGCAGTTTTGCCTGATTGTTATCTTTGTCTGCTAACTCTATGAATAAAAATGGCGGATGAAAATACGTTTCTTCTGCTTAATTGGCTTTCACTTCTCTATAATTTTAAACTTGATAGCTCGCACGCCGCAAATTTATATTATCGTTATAGTGTTTATCGATGAAAAAATATTGCTTTATTCAATTAGTAGTGCACAGTCCATTCGATTAGAGCATTTACCCAATTTTCAGTTTTTTCACTGAGTTTCTTGAGAAGTATTGGTTCAGTAATAATTAACACGGGTGGAAGTTAGTTCACCGCAATCACGCCTTATATTAAAATTCTGATTCTCCAAAATGCCACCAATTAGACGTACCAACCTAGGTCGCAGAACTTGCAATGCTGCAAGTCAAAGATATATACGAAGAAGACAAACTGACGAGCAACGATAAGCGAGAAATGAAGTTGAACGGAAGGACTGAGATTCAACATCGCAGTAGTGTCGCATTTAATCCCAGTCTAGCTGCATTCAATTATGACGTGGCATTCTATTACAGTTCACAACAAATCGTTGCTATTGAACCAATGAACGTTGAGTCCCGATTGCAAGGCTTGCAAGTTTAAAAATGAAGTCCCTAGATTATGTTGCGTCACTGAAAAGATCAAATTGACTCCTTCGGGCCATTGATACCACTACCGGAGTCACTACATTCATTGGTTTCCAGAAATGGGCCAGATTCTATACATTTTTTACTCATATCCACCAATACAATAATTGCTCTCAAATAACGTTATTTGGCCCAACAGAATTCATTCTCCATAATTTTATGCCTGATTTCAAGGTAAGCTGATGGTGGAATGATAATGCTGCCAACGTATTTTCCTAGCCATATGGCGTTACAAACACTTCGCTAGATAATTACCTATACTCCATATATTTACCCTTTTATTATTGATTATACACTCTCCAGTTCATGGCTAAGGGCCGTTTCGTTGGTTATTCCTACAATTGTAGGACGCCTTAATGGCCGCCCTGATTTTCAAAGTACCTACTTCCTCTCCTCCAGAAAGGCTGTGGTATTTCTAGATCTCTACCGCTCCGTGTCAGCGTCATCGCTCTCCTATTGTGAGGCTAGGTTATCTCTTTGAATTGTAGGAAATTTCAGGCTGATATAAATCAAAAGCATGAACAATTTGATGCAAATAGTTATTTGCAACATAACGTCAAAATAGAACGCTGACACGGAACAGTAGAAAACTGTGAAAATCAAGGAGGCTTTAAAAGCATGCTACAGCTGTAGGAATGACTGATGATACGGCCCTAAGACAGGACAACTCCTGTCGGGTCTGCTAGTGTTTGGTATATTCTATTTTTCACATCAAAACATAAACATTAAATAATTGTATATATATTATGCTACTTTTTCAAAAATACCTAGGTCATACGAAAACACATTGTTTGCATATAATTAACAACTTCGCGCCGATAATTTGAGGTTACGTTATCAAAAAGTCTAGTTAAAATTGATAACAAAATTCGTTGATTTTATGTTCATAATTTCTAAGGCACATGAATTTTTGGTAACCTTTGTGGCCACATTTGACGAAACAGATGCCCGTGCATAGATTTTTCATTCACTTGTGACCGAAAATCTATTTACGAAATCGTTCTGTTATAATCACTACCACAAATGGAAGCCATTTCTTCAACATACTTGGCTATATACAAGCATCAGCAGCTACACTTATTTTTAACCAATAGGTTACCAACCGTAAGTATTAGCAAAACAGAGAGCGACATAGTATGTTTCCTTTATTTTTAAATCTAGGTCAGACTCATGTGATTTTATAGAGCAAAATTTCGACGATTTTGACCCAAAATGACCTGAATAGATGTTTATGACCTAGAAATAGCCTCATGGGTATGTTATTGCCTTCTGTCACTTTGGGCAAATGCCAGACCTTTTTTAAATTGATCATGCAACCTTTTTAAGCTATTTTGAGGTCGAAATAACCTAATTACAAATGCAGACTAGATAGAAGGAGCCAGTCAAGGATATATTTGCCTCCTAATTCTCATAATCTGAATCGAGGATCAATGTGCCCGTGATATAAGTTAATTTTTTAACAGTTTGAGTTTTTACATAATTTGCAAAAAGAGGCACAACCCTATTGAAAGTAGATGGTTCGGCCTGTAAGCATTACTATTACGTTGATACAACGCTGTCACTTTGGTAGGCATTGGTAGACAAATGAGTCAAAAGTGTTGACTGAAACTGCGCAAATTCGGCGACAAACAATGTATTGTAAACATATAGGCTTGACTCCTTCTAACCTATTCGGAATCGTTGGTATTGACCTATTTGACTAAATTCATCAATTTGTTTCGTCACGTACGTTTACCTGAAAAAAATCTGAAAATCTTTAATTTTGTTGCAGCCAAACCTCCTCCTCATGTAGTTTGGTTCCGAAACGACATTCCTGTGAGCAACATGAGTGTCCTCCTGCCTCCGAATGGAGGCACCAGCACCCACATTAGAAGCGAGCTACGGATCACCAACTTAGGTCGACGGGATGTCCATTCGGAGCTGAGCTGTCAAGCAGCGAATAACAAGAGGACCACACCTTTGACGGCGACTGTTCATGTTGATATGAATTGTGAGTTATATTAACTACCTGTATAGATAACTAGTCCTAAAACTTTCTCTTCTAAGAAGAGCTGCAATAGCTGCAATCTACTTACGTGGCAGACTGATGGCAATGGCTAAATGCCGTGTGTTCAAACTAGTAATATAACTTTCGTTGATCTGACCACAGACGGCCAACCATTGACAGATGTTTCGTGCTATTTGGCAACTCCTCAGTTTGTCGAATTAAGACAGTATAAAGTGCCATCTATTATCAGAATGGACCAATGCGGAACTGAAAACAGTAAGCTGTCTATTTGAATAGTATCTCAGTTCGTATTGTCAGCCGTGTCATCACTGTGGCCGCTAGATGCCACCGATCCTGGTGCTGTAGTAGATACGGTCTACTTGCCATGGGAAAACTAGTAATATAGCTTTGGTTCGTCCGACCACAGATAGGTAACCACGGACAGCTGATTAGTTCTACTTGGCTCAGGCGCACCTCTCAGTCGTTTTCGCTAAAAAATCATATAGTTTTTTCTACGGAAAAAAGTTTTTATAACTTGATAATAGGTAATGACACTTCTTTCCAATGTATTTACATTATCAAATAGTAAATTTATGAATTATACATATTTTGACAATAATATATGAAGAATATTAAAAAAGAACCATTACACATTTTATACATATGATATAATACTTTTAGCATTAGGAATTATTATTTTAATCATTTTACTTCAGAAGTACATGAACCTGGATGAAAGTTATTATGAAAACAAGTGAGACAACAATTGGTACGACAATTTGCGCCACAAATAAATGCAGCTTTTTCACAGGTGCAAGGAGTTTTTCAGAAGTTCTTCATGCAAACAAACTCCGTTTACGTTGCAAAATATTTCTCAGTATTTAGATGGTTTTGAAGCATACCAGGCATACTTGATCTTCTCTTAAAAAAGATGACAGCTGATGATGAACGATCGATTGAATTTCAATACAATCCTCACTGGAATACATTTTCAAATTTTATTCAATCAATTGCGAACAATTTTGAATTTTTTTAATCAAATTCTAAATTTGTCTCTAAAAGTAACTATCACAAGGTTGTACGAGTAAAGCCTACTTTGCAGGTATTACTTTAACAGTACAAGTAAGCATAATTTTTAAAATTGAAATATTTTGAGAGTTATGAATTCATCAACTCACTGTTCGACAATGTGAATACATCAAAAAACATTCAACAGTAGGTTGACTCTGCACTTCCCGGCTGCGTGCAGCCTAGGAGAACGATCCGGCTACTGGGACTATTTTTGTAAGTATTAAGGGCTAATGTGCGGAGAAGCCTATGATGTGAGAAATATTTTTAACATGTGCCTAGGATCATCAAAATTGGGAGTGTGTAAATGAATTACCATCAAAAATTAAAACAAACTCTCCCTACACCCCCCCTGCCCCCCCCCCCCCTCAAGCCTCACTCTCAAGCTTTTCTACCTCTATTTTTGTTTTAAATAATCATCTGAAACGTCAAAAAATGAAGTTTGACCGATTTTCATCCCCCTTCGTTTTTGGCCTTTTCTTCTGCCGTCACTGAACCGATTTTCAAAAATTTACAAAGCTTTTGCGGCCTTGGCAAGTACAATTGTGTAAACATTTAGTCGAAATCCCAGCGGTACTTCTCAAGTTATAGGCGGTTATACATGGGTTTTCGTGATGTACATGTCTTATAAAATCTAGAAAACGTATCTCGTTGTCAAACATTTTTGCGATTCCATTACTCCCCGCCAGCAGGTGTGGAAGTGCAAAGAGTCATAATGTGTTATCAGGTTATTAGAATTCTTTTTTCTCCAGATAAAAAGTCTTACAACTTAAGGGCGTGCGTACTTTTACTGAGTACGTATTTCAATCAAAATGATTTAGTACCCTTCAACCTTGCCGTTTCCTTGTAAGTTAAAAGTTTTTTGACATTTGACCCCCATTTCTGATCAAAAATTGAGTTTTCGGAAAGGTCCAATGGACACTTTTTATTAAAGTGCTGTGCCAATTCTTTCTTGCAGGATTTTTTAATGCTTAACAGCATAACAATAAAAAAGAATCGCATCCAAGACATCATTCTTCCTTAAAAAACATATTTGATACCTCTTCTATCACTTATAAGTAGGGGAGAGCGGGGCAAAGTGGGGTATCTAATGGTTTTTAGTTTCTAAAATGTCAAATTTTTAACAAAAACTTACATAAAAAACATGAGTTGTTAGTCTTACATGTTGTCTATTGAAAACAAAAAAATATATTTACTTTGCATTATCCAATGACCTGTGATAAAAATATTTCCGCCATTTATCATTTGCCCCACTATGCCCCATTATACGGGGTAAAGTGGGGTATCTATTGGGGCAAAGTGGGGTTCTGTTAATTAAATGATAAAACAATAAAATATTTTTATTTAAATGATGAAACAATAAAATATTTAGAAAATATTTTTATTGAAGAACACAAAAATCTAAAGAACATAAAAGAAATAAAAAAAATTGATAACACTAAAATTAATTAATTTAATTTTAAGCACAAATAGCACAAAGGTGTGAGGCCTCATCGTCTTCATCGTCTTCACCAGCACACGAGCAATGCGCCCAACGACTGCACTGTCTGCATCGAATCCACCCTTCATTGGACTGAGACCATAAATACCCACAATATAAACATTGCGCATCTTCATCTTCGTTAGAAGATTGTTCTTTTTGTTTTAAGACTGATTTACCTTTTTTAATTTTCTTATTCTTAGTTTCTTGCAAATCTAGGTTTTTCTTAATTTTTTTTTGTGCATGTTTTTTTCTTTTGCTTCTTCTTGGGCAACCAATTCATTTTTGTACGGCGATTCTGTAATAATTGCGGTCTTTCCTCTTCTCTTTGTAACTCGTTGTGTTTTTCGAGCTTCTTTAGGTAAAGGCATTATAATATCCGGTGACAGTACAAATGCAGATCTCTTTTGCTTAATATTATATGAGCATCCAGGTTGAGGTTCTGTTTGAATAACTGGTATCTCATCCTGATCTAGATCTGATTTAAATTCAGGTTCAGGGGTTCTTTGCCCTTCTCTATATGTTTCAGGAGTTATATCCTCATTAATTTTCTCAGTGATTGGACGATTAGTTGATTGGATTATTGAAGTGGGATCTTTTTGAATATCAGTCGTATCAGAAGGTGCAAAATCTGCATCTGTGAAGATACGTGGTTCAAGAGGCCATATGCCCGTAGCTCTAAAAGAATTTATAGCCGTTGTCATAGTAGCAGCCGCCACAAATGCATTACCAAGCAATCGTGCAGTCTGGAATTGAGTAACAACTCGACCTGGAAATATCGTAACCATTTTTTAATTTCATTGCTGTAGTAGGTGCTTAGAGGTTTCATAAACCCGACGTCCAGAGGCTGAAGTCGATGCGTGCAGTGAGGTGGAAAGCAAAGGAGAACAACACCATTTTCGCGAGCCAGATCTATAAGTTCAATACTTTTGACGTGAGTTGCATGTCCATCCAGTAATAAGAGCACTGGGTTTTCTTTTGTGGCATGCGACCATTCAATAAATCTTTTTAGCCACAAGATAAACAGGTCGCTTTGTATCCATCCAGATTCGTGGCATTCTCCCCAAAAACCTGCTGGCGCTCCATCTAGTAATTCAGGCTTCATCCTTTTACGCGGAAATATAAAAATAAGAGGCATATAACTCCCTACAGCACTGAAACAGACAATCATTGTCATCAGTTTGCCCCTTTCTGCAGATGTCAAGGTTCCGACTTGGCGTTTACCAGTGGAAGTCAAAATTTTGGAATGACTTTTCGGGACAGTTGAAACGCCAGTTTCGTCAACGTTGTAAGTGCGCTGCGGTGTAATCTTATATTTGTCAATAGCTTCCTCCAGCAATTTAAAAAAATTGTCAACCGCAACCCTGTTAAAGCCCATAGCCCTAGCTGCTGATGTTGCTTCCGGCTTTCTATAAGTTATATCCTTGTGCCTGTTTAAAAAACCTTTTAGCCAATCTGTCCCCGCCATTTGATTATCTTTGTTAAAATTGTGGGCAATATTATTTTTTTCAGCTAACTGGAAAGCTAGTGATCTAAGTTCAGCAGACGTAAGACCATAAAACCGTGCTTCCATTAATTTTATGTAGGATACTAACTCAGCCTCTTGTTCTTCGTTAAAAACAGTTGCGTAACGGCCCAATTTCTTTACAAATGAGGTTTCATCGGGATTACCTCTGTATTTTAACACATACCGCTCAAGTGTCGTTTGCGGCACATTGTATGTCTGAGCTGCTTTTTTGTATCCCATTTCCCCCGAAATATAACTATAGACGGCTTTTTTCATGGATTCTGAAGACCAAGAATGCTGCTCTGTTTTTCTTCTGTATGTCCGAACCATTGTGCTAAAATAACAAAAATTAATTTTACCAAAAGTAATAGTACCTTATAGGTCGAGAGCCCGTGATCCCCAGACCTTAGTCATTTTATAAAAGCTGAAAAAATGTGAAAAACTAATTTTGTAAAGATGGGGCATAGTGGGGTATCAAATCAATGTTCCCCACTTTGCCCCCAACAGACCACCCCGCTTTGCCCCAAATGACGTAATCAAATAAACATGGCTGCAACTCTTACCTCTGTTCTGATCCGGTCTTATTATTCACATAAAATTTAATGCCAAAGAACACCTTAATCTGATAAAAACACGCGGTTACTGTAGCAGAAACAGTTTGTGTTTATTCTTAAGACAAAATTTTTATAAATAAATAGGAAAAGTACTTATTTATTTGTTTTGAACTGTAAAAAAAATTCCAGCGATCTATCACGTTCACTGCATGTGGTAATCGACTGATGCGTGCCAGCTGGTCAAAGCATCACTACGGCAGCGCTCTGCGGATATTATTTGAACCTCTAATTGCCACACCCCACTTTGCCCCAGTACCCCACTTTGCCCCGGCCGCCCCCCTACCAAAACTGGCAAATAAAGCCTCCGGACAATAAGGAGAAATCAAATTAAGAA